CACAGCAACCTCAAACTCTTAGGCTTAAGTGATTCTCTTGCCTCAGCCTCCCAAGTAGCTGGGACTACTGGTGCCCACCACAATGCCTGGCTACTTTATTGTTGCAGTTGTCATTGTTGTTTAGTTGACCTGGGCCAGGTTTGAACCCACTACCCTCAGTGCATGTGGCTGGCATTATAACCACTGGGTGACGGGGGCCAAGCCTTTTTTCTTTTTTTTTGAAGACAGAATCTCACTCTGTTGCTCAGGCTAAAGTGCTATTGCATCAGACTGCTTCACAGCAACGTTGAACTCCTAGGTTCAAGTTATTCTCCTACTTCAGCCTCTTGAGTAGCTGGTGCTTGCCACAGTGCACACCTAATTTTTCTTTCTTTTTTTTTCCTTTGAGACAGAGTGAGTATATCAATGTGAGTAGAGTGCTCTGGCATCATAGCTCACAGCAACCACAAACTTTTGGGCTCAAGTGATCCTCTTGCTTCAGCCTCCCAAGTAGTTAGGACTGTAGGGACTCACCAGAACACTCGGCTATTTTGAGATGGGCTGGTTTCAAATGTAATTTTCATATTTTTAGTAGAGGTAGGGTCTGTCTCTTGCTCCAACTCCTGAGCTGAGAGGTTCCTCCCATTTAGGCTTCTCAGAGTGCGAGGTTTATGTTTAGGTTTAGAGCCTCTATACCTGGCCTCAGAGTGCTAGGCTTATGGCTAGGTTTAGAGCCTCAATACCTGGCCTACCCCTAATTTTTGGATGATTTTACTGGCAATTTTTTTTCTAAAGTGAAAAACAAAGTATAGAGTAGGATGTGGAATATGACCATAAAACAAAATGATTATACATATACATACATGAGGGGGAACTGGAAAAACAAACAATAATCTGGTACATGTATTATTTTGTTCTCCCTTTTCTCTCTTGTTGGGAGGAAGAGAGAGATGGGAAAGTTAAGTGAGAGCAGGTTTTTTTGGATAGAGTTTCTATGCATTTCTGTGTTTAAATACTTTAATATAAATGCATAATTTTATAATCAGAAAAAAGGACACATAAGAAGCTTTAACTAGAAAATTATAGATTCTTTTTTTTTGAAAATTATAGATTCTTATATTAATATAGTCTTTCTTAAAATTTTTTTAGGTTTCAATGAATGCAAAATGACAAAGTCTAGCCCTTTGAAAATAACATTGTATTTGGAAGAGGAAAAGTCCTTAAAAGTAACATCAGACCCAAAGATTGAGCAACGGACTGGTTGGTCTTATTCTTTATTTCTTATTAATTCTATATACATTATAAGAAATGATATATAGTGATATAGTATCTTGTGTTTTTATAATTCTCTTTCTCTCTTTCTCTCTCTCTCTTTTTTTTTTTTTTTTACCAGAATGTACTCTAGCTTCTATAAACATGTGATACTACTACTAACAGTTTCCATTAGGTCGTAGGCACCTGTGAAACTCTGGTTAAGATTCTCACTGACAGGGAGAGGAAGGGTGCTGACCCCCACATTCTGCATATATGGGTAGAGGGGTTTAACAGCCCCTGAAGCTGATTAGTGAACCCTGCCCTAAATGATATAGATTCCTTTTATTGACTGCTATGTGAAAGGGTAGCTCTCAGCAATAGAAAAAACATGGTTTGAAAGAATGCTTTGTGAAAGTCTGAAGCTTTAGGCCAGGTATCCTCAAACTACGGCCTGTGGGCCACATGTGACCCGCCAAGGACATTTATCCGGCCCGCCAGGTGTTTTTACCACTGCTGCCTATTCTGCTTAGCAGCTGACTTATCCCGGGGCCCACAGTCCAGTCCTCCAATGGTCTGAGGGACAGTGAACTGGCCCCCTGTTAAAAAAGTTTGAGGACTCCTGCTTTAGGCTCTTATCCTGCAATTTGAGTTTTGACTTAATACTCTTACTTAAACCCAAAACATTGAATCAGCTTTTAATAGACCCAACCTTAGAAAATGTATTGAAACTTTGAAAATATATTAGTAGTATTTTCTTGTTTTGTTTAACACGTCCTTTTTTTTTTTTTTTTTAATTTTTTTTTTTTTTTTAGACAGAGAGTCTCACTATGCAGCCCTTGGTAGAGTGCTGTGGAATCATAGCTCACAGCAACCTCCAACTCCTGGGCTTTAGGTGATTCCCTTGCCTCAGCCTCCCCAGTAGCTGGAACTACAGGTGCCTGCCACAATGCCTGGCTATTTTTTTTCTTATAGTTTGGCTGGGGCTAGGTTTGAACCTACCACCCTTGGTATATGGGGCTGGCGCCTTACTCACTGAGCCACAGGCACCACCCAACATGTACTTTTTTTTTGAGACAGAGTCTCACTTTGTTGATCTTGGTAGAGTGCTATGACATCACAGCTCACAGCAACCTCCAACTCTTGGGCTTAAGCAATTCTCTTACCTCAGCCCCCCAAGTAACTCATGTTATAGGTGCCAGCCACAAAACCCAGCTATTTTTTTGTTGCAGTTGTCATTGTTGTTTAGCTGGCCTGGGCTGGGTTCTAACCTACCAGCCTGGGTGTATATGGCCAGTGCTGTAACCACTGTGCTACAGGTGCTAAGCCTAACAAGTACTTTTTAAAAACACTCCCCCATTTATTTAGTAAGCATATAAATATTAGATCTTCTCTGTTACACCTTTAATTCTTAAAAAGGTCTGAATCACAATATTCACCTATTTTAAAATATTTTTCAGAAGTGGTACGTGAAATTGAGATGAATGTGGATGATGATGATATTAATAGTTCGAAAGTAATTAATGACATCTTCAGTGATGTCCTACAAGAAAGTGAACTAGATGTAGAAAAGAGCCAGGAGGAGATGGATCAAGCAGAAGCAGAAAGCAACGAAGAGGAAGATGCCTTGAACATCTCCTCCATGTCTCTGCTTGCTCCTTTAGCACAGACAGTTGGTGTGGTAAGTCCAGAGGTAAGAAAAAAATAAACGTGTGTGATAACTAGAAATGTCTTAGCAACTACACAGAAAACTAAATGAAAATAGGCCCTGTGACATAAATAAACTAAGTAGTATTGGGATCCCCTTTTCTGACCCTCCCTTTTTTATTGGCATATGGGCATTTGCACTTTGTAGCCAAGGGGATTTTACAAACCTGATGGCAATTTCTTCTTTGTAATGAAAAATATAATATCTGATAGACTTTTTTTTCCCAATTAATATGATGGTACAAATTTTTGGATTACATTGGTTTTGATTCGAAGATAAAGTTCAAGTTGTAGTTGAGTCCTTCACCTAGGGGCTGCGCTGAACACCACACATAGTGCACATTGAGAACCTGTCACTCACCCTCCTTTCTCCCCACTCCCCTCACTTTTCTCCCCCTAACCCCTTGCTAGATTGTATTTGTGTTCTATCATTTATGTGTGCATGTGGTTGTTTATATATTGGTTTCATATTAGCATTGAGTACATTGGTTATTTTTTGTTTCCATTCTTGCCATACTTTACTAAGAAGTATGTGTTTCAGCTCCATCTAGGTAAACATAAAAGATGTAAAGTCTCCATCTTTTCTTATGGCTGAATAGTACTCTGTAGTGTATATATGCCACTGTTTGTTAATCCATTCCTGGGTTGGTAGGCATTTGGGTTGCTTCCACAACTTGGCAATTGTGAATTGAGCTGCCAAAAACATTCTGGTGCAAATGTCTTTGTGGTAAAAGGATTTTTGTTCATTTGGGTAGATACCTAGTAATGGAATTGTGGGATCAAAGAAAGGTCGACTTTTAGTTCTTTAAGAATTTTCCTTACTTCTTTCCCTAAAGGTTGTATTAGTTTGCAATTCCACCTGCAGTGTAGAGATGTTCCCTTTTCTCCACATCCACACCAGCATCTGCAGATTTCGGACTTTGTGATATGGGCTAATCTCACTGGAATTAGATGATACCCCAGAGTGGTTTTGATCTGCATTTCTTAAATGCAGATGTCAGTTTTCTTAAAAGAGCTCATAAAACTTCTCAATGGGATTTTTTTGACATTAGATAAAATGGTAACATGGTTTAAAAGGCAGACATTTGGGCTTATATTTTGGTTCTGCCATTTACTGACTGTTTATCAATTAGGTTATTTAAACTTTCTGTGCTATAGTCCCTCATCTGTTAAAAGAGGCTATTAATAGTAACTATAACATGGGTTGATGTAAATATCAAATCATATTTGTATTTAGCATTAGACATATATAATTAACATTTATTGAGAGGTAACTACTGTTACTAGTGGCTTTTACCCTAAATTGAGTAACTGCAGTTCTGGAGAGTGATTGAATCAGCAATTTTTAAAAACTTTCAGCTGTCTTTGTACTTTTATATAGTCACTTATATTTTTGGCACTTTAGTTTGCTTTGTTTTTATGATGAATCGGTCAACTTATTGGATGTTTATTTCCTAATAATGGAGAAGTCATTTATTCTCTCAGAATTAAATTAATTGTTATTTGGAATCAATGTTAAATATTCTAAAATCTGCTAATATCTGATGTGTTTCCCTGTAGAGCTTAGTTTCCTTACCTAAGCTGGAATTGAAAGACACTAGCAGCATAAGTGATGAAAGTCCAAAACCAGGAAAATTCCAAAGAACCCGTGTCCCTCGAGCTGAGTCTGCTGATAGCATTGGTTCTGAAGATCGGGATCTTCTGTATAGGTAAGAACTTTTCTGAAAGGCATTCACTCACTAAGGGTCATGGTTTAGACTGATGTAAGTTGTGTTAACCATAATATTACTAATAATTCATCTGTATAAATTTTTGGAATAACTTTGTCAGGCGGTCTTTCACCAAGTAGCATTTCCATTCTGTTGATACATATCAAATTTTGCTGTTATGTTCAATAAAGGATAGTGCTCTGTGTGTTGCTGGATTTCTAATAAAGTTTAACTTATCTCCTGAAGCATTGATGCATATAGATCTCAAAGATGCAAAGAAACAGAACGCCCATCAATAAAGCAGGTGATTGTTCGGAAGGAAGATGTTACTTCAAAATTGGATGAAAAAAAGAATGCGTCTGCTTGCCCAGTTAATATCAAACAGAAAATGCAGGTATGCACTTTTTTTTTTTGTAGTTTTTGGCTGGGGCTGGGTTTGAACCCACCATCTCCGGTATATGGGGCTGGTACCCTACTCCTTTGAGCCATAGGCGCCGCCCTATTTTTTTTTTTTTTTTTTAAGAGATAGAGTCTCACTCTATCACCCTCTGGTAGAGTGCTGTGGCGTCACAGCTCACAGCAACCTCCATTTCTTGGGCATAGGCGATTCTTGCCTCAGCCTCCTGAGTAGCTAGGACTACAGGTGCCTGCCACAATGCCCAGCTATTTTTTGTTGCAGTTTGACTGGGGCTGGGTTCGAACCCACCACCCTCACTATATGGGGCCAGAGCCCTACTGACTGAGCCACAGGCACCACCCTGCACTTTTTTTGTTTTTAAAGAATATAAAAGTGGAAGTTTATTTTATATTAGTGAAAGGGAAGAAAGTGGGGGGAAGAGATGAGAAAAAGACAAGAGAGCAGAGAATGAGAGAAGGGCAGATGGGGGAGGAGAAAAGGGGCGAGAGAATGGAGTGGCTTCCCAAGAAACAGAAGGAAAAATGACAGCCTGGTATGTACTTCTGTGGAAGGGGGATTTGGAATGTCTCTTAACACTAAATTATGATCTCTGTTAGGAGAAGGGTCCGCCCTTACTCATCTGAAATTGAGTAAATAGAATGATGTCTGACATATGGAAGCTTAGTAAATCACTCTTTAATTCAGTTTCAGAAAGGTTCCCATTTTTGGAAACCTTTTGGAAGCTTGTTTAATGTTGTTGAAATACTTATTTTTAAATACGTTTATCATAAATATCCTTAAAGTATAATTATTATTTGAATGATGGTGCAATGTGAAATTTCTTGTGCTCTTCTAGGTATGTTTTTATGCCAAGGAAAGCATTTATTTAAAAAAAAAGAGAGAGAGAGAGAATTATAATTTAAATGAATTGGATACTTTCTAAATCTCTGTTTTGTTAGACATGACCCTAAATTAAATTAAATTAATTAATTTACTTATTTTTGAGACAGTATCTCTCTGTGTCCCACTGGGTAGAGTGCCGGGGCATCTGAGCTCACAGCAACTTCAAACTCTTGGGCTCAAGCAATCCTCTTGCCTCAGCCTCTTGAGTAGCTGGGATTATGGGTGTGCATTACTAAGTAGCCCAACTAGTTTTTCTGCTTTTTATCGAATTCCTGAGCTCCTGAGGCGAATTCCTGAGGCTCCTTGGCCTCCCAGCTAACTTTAATTTTAATAAATATGAATTAGAAATCTTTTAATAAGAAAGAATGCTTATTATTTAATCAATTACAATATGTTAAATGACTTTGGTGCATGGTCTAGAAATTTCAACAGTGAAACTGTAACATTTTTACTTTATTATCTGGAAATTTTATTTTTTTATTTCTTTATTTTTTTTCCTGGTTCTTTTTTTTTTTTTTT